AAGAGGGCCATGATAGCCCTGAGGTCGCTCACCTGTATATAGGCCCCCACCCCCGGGCCAATTTTTACCCAAGGGCTTTTATTTGTTTATTTGAACAGACTTGGTAGACACCCATAAGAAGATGTTTCATGCCATACATCTAAGTTCTAGCTCATTGGCTTTTTTAAAAGAAGATTTTTAAAGTTTTTACTATACACATATAGTTAAAAACAATGTCACCCCTGGGGCAGGGCCAGTTTTGACCCCCGGGCGTTTATTTTAACAAACTTTGTAGATATTTACTAAAAGATGTTTCATGCTTAATATCTAAACTCTAGCTATTTGGGTTTTTCCAAAGAAGATTTTTAAGTTTTTGCTATACACATATAAGGAAAATCAATGACCCCCCCCCCCCCGAGCGGGGCCAGTTTTGACCCCAGGGCTTTTATTTGAACATACTTGGTAGACACCCATTTGAGCATGTTTCATGCTAAATATCTTAGCTCTAGCTCTTTGGGTTCTTTAAAAGAAGATTTTTTAAGTTTTTACTATATGCATATAGGGAAAATCTATGACCCCCTGGGGCAGGGTCAATTTTGACCCCAGGGCTTTTATTTGAACAAACTTGGTAGACATTCACTAGAAGATGTTTCATGCCAAATATCTAAGCTCTAGCTCTTATGGTTCTTTAAAAGAAGATTTTTTTAGTTTTTACTATATGCATATAGGGAAAATCAATGACCCCCGGGGCGGGGCCAATTTTGACCCCAGGGCTTTAATTTGAACAAACTTGGTAGACATTCACTAGAAGATGTTTCATGCTTAATATCTTAGCTCTAGCTCTTTGGGTTCTTGAAAAGAAGATTTTTAAGCTTTTACTATATGCATATAGGGAAAATCAATGACCCCCTGGGTCGGGGCCAATTTTGACCCCAGGGCTTTTATTTGAACAAACTTGGTAGACATTCACTAGAAGATGTTTCATGCCAAATATCTAAGCTCTAGCTCTTACAGTTCTTTAAAAGAAGATTTTTTAAGTTTTTACTATATGCATATAGGGAAAATCAATGACCCCCGGGGCGGGGCCAATTTTGACCCCAGGGCTTTAATTTGAACAAACTTGGTAGACACTCACTAGAAGATGTTTCATGTTTAATATCTTAGCTCTAGCTCTTTGGGTTCTTTAAAAGAAAAAATTTTTTAAGTTTTTACTATATGCATATAGGGAAAATCTATGACCCCCTGGGGCGGGGTCAATTTTGACCCCAGGGCTTTTATTTGAACAAACTTGGTAGACATTCACTAGAAGATGTTTCATGCCAAATATCTAAGCTCTAGCTCTTATGGTTCTTTAAAAGAAGATTTTTTAAGTTTTTACTATATGCATATAGGGAAAATCAATGACCCCCGGGGCGGGGCCAATTTTGACCCCAGGGCTTTAATTTGAACAAACTTGGTAGACATTCACTAGAAGATGTTTCATGCTTAATATCTTAGCTCTAGCTCTTTGGGTTCTTGAAAAGGAGATTTTTAAGCTTTTACTATATGCATATAGGGAAAATCAATGACCCCCTGGGTCGGGGCCAATTTTGACCCCAGGGCTTTTATTTGAACAAACTTGGTAGACATTCACTAGAAGATGTTTCATGCCAAATATCTAAGCTCTAGCTCTTACGGTTCTTTAAAAGAAGATTTTTTAAGTTTTTACTATATGCATATAGGGAAAATCAATGACCCCCGGGGCGGGGCCAATTTTGACCCCAGGGCTTTAATTTGAACAAACTTGGTAGACACTCACTAGAAGATGTTTCATGCCAAATATCTTAGCTCTAGCTCTTTGGGTTCTTTAAAAGAAAATTTTTTAAGTTTTTACTATATGCATATAGGGAAAATCTATGACCCCCTGGGGCGGGGTCAATTTTGACCCCAGGGCTTTTATTTGAACAAACTTGGTAGACATTCACTAGAAGATGTTTCATGCCAAATATCTAAGCTCTAGCTCTTATGGTTCTTTAAAAGAAGATTTTTTAAGTTTTTACTATATGCATATAGGGAAAATCAATGACCCCCGGGGCGGGGCCAATTTTGACCCCAGGGCTTTAATTTGAACAAACTTGGTAGACATTCACTAGAAGATGTTTCATGCTTAATATCTTAGCTCTAGCTCTTTGGGTTCTTGAAAAGAAGATTTTTAAGCTTTTACTATATGCATATAGGGAAAATCAATGACCCCCTGGGTCGGGGCCAATTTTGACCCCAGGGCTTTTATTTGAACAAACTTGGTAGACATTCACTAGAAGATGTTTCATGCCAAATATCTAAGCTCTAGCTCTTACGGTTCTTTAAAAGAAGATTTTTTAAGTTTTTACTATATGCATATAGGGAAAATCAATGACCCCCAGGGGCGGGGCCAATTTTGACCCCAGGGCTTTTATTTGAACAAACTTGGTAGACACTCACTAGAAGATGTTTCATGCCAAATATCTAAGCTTTAGCTCTTATGGTTTTTTAAAAGAAGATATTTAAAGTTTTTTCTTTTGGTTGCCATGGCACCAGAGTTCTGCATGGAATTAAATTCTTTGAAGAATTTTTAAAGGTGACCACCAAAGGAACATTCCTGTGAAGTTTGGATGAAATTGGCTCAGTGGTTTATGAGGAGATGTCATTTAAAGCAAAAGTTTACGGACGGACGGACGAACGACGGACGGATGGACGGCGGATGAAAAGCTATCACAAAAGATCACCCTGTCACTTTGTGACAGGTGAGCTAAAAAAAAATCCAACTTGAATTGTGTTCCATTGAGAGTGAAATAATGTTTGTACATTGACCTACAAAATGATAAAGTGCCAAACAGTTTATAAATAGCAGAAAACAGATTTTTGTATAAAAGCTGAAAATATTGTCTGCCTAGTACAATGCAAGTATAATTTGAAATTAAGCAAAAATACATGAAATGTGTGATTTGTTATTAAAGTTAAAGGATATTTTTGATTTTCTAACAGTTACATGTAGTCTAAGAGGGGCACAGCACATAGGGTGAATGTCATAGGCAGTGCAAATGTAAATAAAAACATTCATATTCACACTTATTTTTTTTAATAATCATAAGAGTTATTAATAAAGTTAGGCTTTTGGGAAACCAATGTAGAGGTTCATTCTTATAAAAATCAAAGTTGAAAAGTTGGACTAAAAATTGTAGCTGAAGAAGGGTTAAATGATTGACTCTGTGATTTTTAGTTCAATTTTTATCCAAACTTCATGTTTGTTTGTTTGATTGGGTTTTACATCACACCAACACAGTAAAGGTCATATGACGACATTCCAGCTTTACTTGTGAAGGAAGACATCATTTCATGCACGCATTGGCACCCGAGTAGAACCACTAATATTCTGAATAGCTTCCTCACATGAATGAACACAAAGTCCCTGTAGGGATTCGAACCCACACTAAAGTTCATGTAAATAAGTATTAAAATAAAGTTATAAAACATTAATATAAAACATAGTACTACACACTACAGCAATAAAAAAAATATAACAAAAACAAGAGCACCGCTAGGCGGAGCATTATATGCCCGAAAGTTTTTTTGTTTTTGTTTTAGCATTTGTAAGACATGGGAATTAAATAAAGTATTACCTCATTCAAATAGCAATCCTCCTATGAAGTTTGAATATTGTGGGCCAAATGGAACTTAAGTTATGCTCCAGTAACTGTTTTCAGTTTGAAAGATATATGACCTTGACCTTTGACCTTGTGACCCCAAAATCAATAAGGGTGTTCTATCTAATATGGACAATTATCCTATGAAGTTTGAACACTGTGGGCCAAATAGAACTAAAGTAAGCTCCGGAAACTGTTTTCAGTTCGATAGTAATAGTGACCTTGACCTTTGACCTTGTTACCCTAAAGTCTTCTACCCAATATGGATAATTATCCTATATAGTTTGTAACACTTTGGGCCAAATGGAACTTAAGTTATACTCCGGAAACCAAATTGCTAACAGACGGACAGACAGAAGGACGCCAGGGGATATAACATAATATGACCAAAATTCTTTTGGGCATATAAAAACCATAACATAATCTTCTGAAATAGCAGTGTGAATTTCTAGGCACACATTTCAACAAAGTAACTTCCCAATTACACTTACAGGTACTTGATTTTTTCTTAATTTCTTTATTTTTGTTACAATAACCATTTTATATACTTTAATTATTTATGTAATAATGTATTTATAGGATGGCCCCCAATAATGTTTTTATAACTTTGGGCACAACCCTTTTGTATATTTACATTAATGTACTTATGTATAATTGTGAAAATTTATATACAATAAAATATGTTTAAACTAATTAATGTGGTCTATTTCCAAAATCCTTAATACTTCAAAAATTTAATTTTACATCATTTCATAAAATTTCTATTAACATAATGAATGCACTACTGAATAAATTAAAATCTGAGTTTGACGTGACATAAATTTAGTTTCTGGCTTTCAGCTTGAGATACATTTTTTTAAATATTCAAGGCACATTGTGCGTCAGAAGCAAATCAATTTTACGCAAACATGGATTTTATAAAACTTAAATAATGATTTTAGAGAAATGATGTTCTCTTGTTATAATTAGCGGTAAATGAGAAATAATTTGTCATAAAAGTATCAAAATGTAAACAAAGTAGTATTTTGACTTCCATACAAAAAACTTATTTACTGAATTTTACTTATTGCTAAAAAGAAATACATGTAGATGAAAAAGATGGTTCCGGTAATTATCCAATGAGTATCTTTTTGGATACTTAATGTAAGTACACCAAAATTAAATAGCTTTTAAGAAATAAAAATAAGCATTTCTGAGGCATAATTGGCCTTTAACATAATTATAATATTAACATTAACTTTATTTTTATTTCTAAAAAAAACCCTAAAGTACACTATAATTATGTACAAATGAAAAAGACCCCCACCCCCAGAAATGTTCTGACTAATGGGACAGTTTTCATTAATTCTGTATACATACCACGAGTGTTTTTCACATCTTTGGGATTTGTTTGTTGGTCTTCTAAACATATACAGACATACATACATGTATAACATATACAATGAATAAGATAATATGAGCCGTGTCATAACAAAACCAACATAATGCGTTTGCAACCAGCATGGATCCAGACCAGCCTGCGCATCCGCCCAGTCTGATCAGGATCTCTGCTGTTCGCTTACAAACCCTATTAGATTAGAGCAACTGCTAGCGAACAGCATGGACCCTGAACAGACTGCGCGGATGCGGAGGCTGGTCTGGATCCATGCTGGTCGCAAACACACTTTGTTGGTTTTGTCATGGCATGGCTCATATATACAATGAATAAGATAAAAGAGTACTGCTGACCATTGAATTAAAAAAAGTCAAAAGTTTTCTACAACAAAATATCCAACAATATATGGCAAGGGCTCCCTACTACAGATAACAATATCATAAATTTAGTGTTTTTACATCAAGCATCAAATACCTGTTTTAAGGCAAATATTAACAAAGATAAATGTTTGAACAAATCTTAAGTTTAGTGGACCTAGAAGATAAACAATGTTAACAAACTTGCTTTTTTACATATTTATTTATAAAATTACAATAAAAGTTCACATTTGATTATTTCTAGGGTCCACTAGACTTGATTCTATCCAAATGTGTTTGTATTACAAGGATCCCTACATGTATGTTATGGTCAATTTTCCTGAATTTTGAACATCTACCCGGTAACTAATTATTGATTATGAGGCTGAAAACATACTCCATAAATTTAACATGAGAAAATAAAGCTTTTGTAGAGAAGTTAGATATAGCTGGGTTTAAAGCAAATCTCTGTAAATACATAACAAAATAAATGAGAAATTTCCTGAATCAAGAAAATTTTACAATGAATGTCAATATCACTTATTGGCCAAATTTATGAATAAATTTATTAAACACTGGGCTCATTTCGAATGATTTATGTATCATGTTTATTTTTGGTATGGTTTATAAACAAAGAAGACACTGTTCAGGTCATATGGTGACTTTCCCACTTTCTTGTGGAGGAAACCTACAGGTGCCTGTTAAGTCCACCCATTTTGTAAAAGCTTGAAAAAGCATGATGTTCAATTGATAGATCCCTACTCTGACCATTTCTTTGAATTATCAATAAATCTAACCACAAACATTGACAAGTGCTCTTTTGTTAACAAACACTTTGTGGTGAAATTCTAATCATAATGCACTAATATGATATTTTGAATCAGACTGGTTCGGGTCATATAGAGTTCTATCCATAAGTATTAGAAATAAAATTACCTCCGTGCCCATCAAATACTGCAAAAAACATGGCATCTTTGTCTCCAGGTAATGACAACAGCTGACAGTGAGCATCCTCCATATCTTACAGTAAGTTAAGGCAAAAAACTTCTCATGAAATAGTACAAGTAAAACAAAGTGCACATTCACTTCCCTTTAATTATGGTTATGCCTTCATGTTAAGTAAGGATTCAAAGGAGTTCAATTTCCCAGTAACAAAATTAATTAATTTTAGATTGCTTTTAACTAGTACAATATTATGAACATTACCTCATTAATGAGTTTAATTGAAAGTATTAAAAGGACTCAAATAGCAGGCTTTTTTTACATAATAGACATGGAAAAATCTTTTTAAAAATCTCAAACCATTTGCTGTAGGCATGAACCATACACTGTGTGCAAAATTTTAGATCATTCACTTACCTTGTTTTGCAAAATGACCAGAAAATAAAGAGTTGAAAATGAAACTTTTTTAATTTAAAATCCTACTAAGAGGCACTAAATAAATTTCTAAATTATTTCAGGGTGTATTTCTTTATCTGTTTTAACATATTTTCCCATTTTTATCCCAGTTGATCTTACATGCAGTAAAAAATTTTATTTATGTTTTTATGCTTTTTGACCACAGTGGAGATAAAAGATGTTTTTTTTTCTTTTTTATTTTGTTGGGTTTTTTCGACACACCAACACAGTATAGGTCATACGGCAACTTCCAAGCTTTTACTGATGGAGGAATACCATGGGTGTCCTACTGTGCATTTTTTCAGGCACTAATGGGCACTTGAGTAGAATCACTTATGTTCCATAAACTAACTTGATAACTTTTTCTCTTAATAGAATCCAAAATCCCTGTTGGAATTGGAACTCACAGAGGTGAGGGGCAAGTGGTTGGAAGTCAATGACCATAACGACTCAGCCACGGATGCCCAATGCAAATATAAAGGAATCATGTCCAAGTAAAACAGATTGATATTTTCACAGTGCCGCATCCTTGGCTGTCTGAAATATGACAATAGAGCAACAACAAACAGGTTAAAGGATACTTATTCTCCATCCCTGCATGCATGAAACACCAACTTTCACTTGATTGTTCTGGCAGCATGATGTCTCCTTTGTGGTAACTGGTTCTGATAATGTCTGACCCATTCCTCATTTGTTGTTGAAATACTTTCACAGTGAACCAGTTGCAAGGATTTCTCTGCTTTTCTATTCTCTAAACTTCTAGTGCAAATACATGGTGATGGCAATGAAGTGTTTTTTACCTGTAATGGAAATAATAAAATATACAATGCCAATATAACAACAGTCTTAATTCCTGCTCAACAACTATGCTAAAGCGCAGTATTTTTATTCTAAGAGCAAAAAGTTTTAATGTTAGTATTGCATATAATTGACATTACATGTATGTATTGATAACAAGGCAGTCTGAAGAACAGCTAAATCTCCTTCCGCAGTGAACATGAATGTGTACTTCTTGACCTTTTGCCAACCATGACCTTGATGTTGTGCCTTTGTGCCAAGCTATTTAAAATCTTCCACAAAGTCAAAAAGTTATGGAGAACATATAACCTTGACCTTGGGGGAAGCAACTTGGATGTTGAGCTCTGCAGGTTGTGTTATGGTAGGGATCATTTGTGTCAAGTAATTTTAAAACCTTTGAATTGTCAATAAGTTATTGAGTGGACATGAAAAATAGATGTTTTTACATTGTACCTTTGTGTGTGACCCTGACCTTCAGGGTTGTGACTTGATTATTGTGCTCTGCCAATGGCGTCATAATTGTGATCATTTTTGTCAAGTTATCTTAAAATCATTGCAGCGGTTTAATGTTTGGGACAGACATGAAATGAAGACTTTTTAACATTTGACCTTTAAGTGTGACCTTGACCTTGGGGACAGCAACCCAATTCTTGCGCTTTGCACATCGTCTCATTATGGTGATCACTTGTGCCAAGTTATTTTAAAAAAAAATTCTGTGGTTTAAAAGTTATGGAGCGGACACGAAATGAAGACTTTTTATTATGAAATGAAGACTTTTAATGATCACTTGTGCCAAGTTATTTTAAAAAAAATTCAGCGGTTTAAAAGTTATGGAGCAGACACGAAAGTGTTACAAACGGACCGACAGATGGACGGACTGACAGAGGTCATTCCTATAATCCCCTTTCCGCAACAAGACTATCTAGGGCCTGTTTTCAAAAAGAGCATATTTCCCCCGAGTTCACAATCATGTATTCAAGTATCAAGCCATTCACATACATTAACATTACATGTCTCACTGAAACAATTATACTAAAATTGCACAATTTCTGGCAAAACTATAATTGTGAGGCAAACTAAATAGCTATCTTTAAAATAACACCTAAGAAAATTCACACTTATATAGTCACTAAAGCCAGAAATGTAACAACAACATTATCAGGACTCCGGCCCAGAGATGGTATCTACTTTAGTTATTATAGTTAACTGGTAAGCATCATTACTGTTTTACAAATAAATGTAATATTATACTGTGACAATAATATGTTTTATATTGTAAATGTACATTGTATTTAAATATTTGTCCCCGCAACAGTCCCACATAAGTTTGATATATCAATATGATTGTTGTAATTAATAAAATATTAAACAATGAGTTGTTTATGACTTAAGAATTAACACTATATAAACATTATGAGTCAATGTATCAAAGTTAATGCACAATACATGTACTGTAGGTTTATAGTTTTTATTAGAGGTACATGTATCTTGTACATTGTAAATAAGAAAATGCCATCAGTTTCACTGTCACATATAATATAGATAAATAACTCATTGGTGCAGCTTACAATTCTGCTCTAAAATAAATTCATATATCTAATAATTTCTTTTTTTTATTTCATTTGATTTATATTCAAAACATAATATAAAATGTAGCATACCAGAATCTTCGTTTGTATAAAAAGGCATTCAGAAACATGTACATATTTCCAATACACATTTACTAACATACTGAAGATCTTACTCTCAGTGATCTATATTTAATTAAGTATTATCTTCCTCATTTACAATGCATATAAAAATTAATACATGTACATACTTTCACATTAATAAAATCATTATAGATATAAAAAAATTTCAATTTATTGTTTGCACAAAAGGCCAAAGAAAAACAAAATGCACTTTGTTTACAACAGATTAAACAGTTTGTCTGTGACAATACTGTATATGTACAAAACCTATAAATTACTATCAGTATCTGATTTGTTATAAAATGAATGACAGCACTGTCAACTGGATGGAAATGTCCACAATAAATGTAGTTAATGAGAGCCTGGCATGTATGTGCAAGCTTCATGATTATATGATGATAACAAGTTTGTCCTCAAGTTAATTACAGTACTGTTCAAAGACTGCACAACTCAATATCTTACTCTCTGAGGACAATATTGTTTGTATGAACGTTTATAAACAGTTCAATTACAAAGCAATCTTATTGACAGCATTTTGAACAGACACATAACCTTTGAACTAATCAACTATGGACCTGAATCTTGCTTGTGATCATTTTTTGAGTAATTTCAAAGTCCATTCATGGAATGACAAAATTATGGAATACAGGACCTAAAACAAAAGATCCAGGTATCCCATTTTTTACCTTTGATTGCATCAAGGCTTGCAGGTTCTTGTATAAACCACCTTAACATGCCAAATATTACAAAACCAACATGTAAATTTCATTGGAATGACAAAGTCATTGAAAAAGCATGTAAAGCTGACCAAATACATGTACATGTATTTGACATCTGACCCTACATGTACCTTCAGTTTTAGAGCTGCATGGCCTGTGTCTGGCATGCAAATTTATCATTGCTTCCTAATATGAAATTAGGCAAAGCCTATGAACGGGGAAGTCGTTAAAAAATTCCTTTCATTCTTTCCGTTTTAAAATTGTCATTCGGTATTACATGCACCGCTTCCGTTTTCACTCGGAACACTCGACGTTTATTATTTATCCGAAAAGTTGAGATTTGTTCCGTTATCGGAATACCACGCCTTTTATCATTGAGTTACATTGTAAATGGCAGCGCCCGAGTAGAACTGACACTGAAAATTTCATTGATAGGTATAGAATTCTATATATTTTTGAAATGTTTTTTATTTGATTTTCTTTTAAATATACACGTGTAGTCTATAGCCGGGCAAGCCAAAGCCCGGACCTGCTTCGCGGGCCCGGTCTTTGACTTCCCCGTATTATAATATCAATATGAAGTTGTTGTTTTTTTTAGTCTCTGTTTAAGTACCCTGTTTACTGTTATTTTACGCAAAATTTAAAGGGATTTGGTCCCTTCCACTACCTGTGAAACAATGCCCTGTATTAAAATTGACCTACTTCAATTAATACTTGTGTTTATTTACAATGTACAACACTTGTATTTTTGTGTCAAAACCTGCATTATTGCATTACTGAATATTAATAATGAATGAAAAAATTTTAATCAGAATATAATTCTCATGTATGAAATATTCTGTACTAAATCTATATGTTTAGACTAGCCTTTTTCTTTTCACTGTCTTTCTGTTTAGCCATTTGTTTGCATTATGATTTATTTTGGTGTTGTTTTTTTTAATTCTTCGACACTTTTACACATTTTGGAACTAAAATACTGTGAATTCACTTATATTCGTGGGCATGAAATTTCGTGGTTTTATCAAAACAGGCATTTTCATGGGTTCTTAAATTCGTGGATTTTCAGTTTCTTGTAAAAAAATCAGTAACCTAATGCAAAGTAATCTTAAACTTAATCGCCAAACATTTTTACTTACAACATGTACATATCTATATGTGTCACACAGCACTTGGTCAATAAATTTAATCCTTGCCTCTGGGCATAACTCTTATATACCACAGTTAATGCCGATAATTGGTTGCAATTAACACATTTATGTGACATGATATGCACCTCCATTGGACACACTTCCCCTGTAATTCGCCAATGTAAACATCGCATAATTATACGACACCTGACACGTTTTAACCAGCCAGTTAAAAAAAGTTTACACCCTGAATTGGTCTTACTACATTTGACAGTAACGTCACAGCCACTATGTAAATTTACATGCATATAAATTAAACTGAGTAAATAACAAGAGTATGACTGTGTGGATCTAGTAAAACTCGGTGGCGTCTTTGATGTTTATGGAATAGCATGCGCACAAATACAGATTAAAATTCAACTAAAAATTAAACTGGATCATTTAAAAACGACAAAAGAATGTACAATTCATTTGTTAGAGCGATTGTATTTTTTTTTTATAGTTTTGTGTACTTACAGACTTTTTTAATTAACAAGAGCAAACTGAAAATTTTTTTAAGCGCTAATTATTGCATTGCCTGGGTTCCCATATGTACTCGATTATGTCAAGTATTCTTGTTTACACAATCAAGTGTGTATATGCGACCGACATTTGTGACAGTAAATTGAGAACATATAATCGAGTTTTCTTTCAAGTTTCTTAAATATTGCAAACGGATTTAATCTGTCACTAACCTGATTAGATGTATGTATATACGTCCATTTCACAACAAATCGGTTTGAAAAAGCCGACGCATGTTTGTAAAATATAGAACAGAGACAGGGTAAGAAGTATTTGCTGGGATAAAATTTCGTCGGATCTTAAATTCGTGGATTGACCTACCCACGAAAACCACGAAAATTTGTGCCCCACGAATAATAATGATTTTACAGTAATATTTTATTTTAATATATTTTTTAAATTTTTAATATATTTTCCAGGGAAGTGTTTAAGTTATCTAATTTTGTACAGTAGAGTTAACATTCAACACTTATCACAAAATGATATGTGAAGTGATTTGTGGCTAAAGCCATGTTTGTCACAGAAGCACACTTTAGACTTATTGTGAATTTGTGAGTCAAGTACTGTAATGACAACAAATAATTTCTGTGCAACAAAAATGCACCAGTTGGTTAAGGGAAAGAAAGAGCCACAAAACAAGCTTTGGAAGAACACTGGATCCTAAATAGAGCTCCAGATAAGCTTTCAGAGGTCAAGCCTCAACAAATCCACTCGCCTGATCGCATCTGTGAGTGAAAGTTTCTCCTGATCAAAATAATGTTTCTTTAACCATTTAATGAAAATGAAGTTTTTCCGTGAAAAAATCAAACTGCAGACACCATTTCAACCTTATACTGTCAAAGAAAACCAAAATTTACCTTATGACAAGGTACAAAACTTTACCAAACACTTCAATCATAATACTGTCAAGGAAAACCGGAAATTTACCTCATGGCTAGGTATAAAACTTTACCAAACGGGTATGATAAATTGATTCCGTTGCGACAGCAGCATTAGACAATGTTTTATACATAGTGATACATGTCCGGTAATGTTTTATACTTAGCCATGAGGTCAATATTTAAGCAGAGTTGGCACGTGCATAAGAATTCAAAAGAAATAAGTATTTAGGTTATGTTGCAGATTACATAAATTAAAAGAACGAGAAGTATTATAAACAATATTTTACAATTTGTAAATAAATAAAGTCAATTTTACCGATATAGGCAACGGTAAATAGTGAATTAGTCTTATGTTTGATTTTAACAAATTTTGTCCTTCAAAATGCAGGTAGGTAAATTTAAAGGGTCACTCGCCCAACAGGACAAGTGCCCTCAAAAAATTTATCGAGACTTGGAGGCACAATGAAAATGGGTAAAAGAGGGCCTGCAAAATCAATTGTCTGAGTTGCATATATCTCATTCATTTGTAGACAAGTAAAATTTCAATAATGGAGTTTTATTTTCAAGGTTGACCAAGCTCACTGTCAGTCCTATCCGATATCTTCTTTCTTCCACGGAAAGGACTTTTACAGTAAGCGCAAAGTAAATTGCTAAAAAAAAAATAATTATGGGTCAAATTTAACGATCTTTTGAAAACATTTATTATTATTTTAACATTAAAAATCAAAATATCAAGAAAAAATACCAAGAAAACAACTACTTTGAAACTATCAGTCCTATCCAGTATTTAGTCCCATCTGCGGATAGATGTCCTATCCAGTATTAAGTCATACCGTTTGAGTATTGGGCTGTTTTTAATTGTGTTTACACACATACCATGCTTATCTGGGGGTCCTATGACACAGGGCTTCCACTAGGCTTTTTTTTAGGAAGTCAGGACTTCCTGTCAAGGAATTTTGGAAGTCATGAGGATAATTTCTGGAAGTCAGTTGTTCTTTCTCGTATAATTTTCATGTTTCAATGTTTGATTTATAGTATAGGATGATACAGGTAACAGCAATTATCTTAAGTATTAAGTTCAAGATACCTTCACATGTTTGTTGGGTAAATAACTAAGAACATTACCCTGAAAAAGGACTGTATTGTTTTATTTAAATTTTAAGGACAGTGGTTACCATGTAGAACCTCTTAGTGATATCATTCAAACATTTGCTAAGTGGTATAACAAAAAAAAATAATATTTTCAAAATACTTTTAATTCTTTTATCAATCATGGTACAAGTACATATAAACATAGCATACAAATTACAAATTTAACAATCATAAATGAGAAGAACTACATTATCAAACATTTTTCAAACATTATAGTACAAGGGTTCTTCTTTTTCTACCCATACAGCTGTTGTCCATGTGATCAGCCTGCACAGCATGTTTGTGGTCCTTGGATTCATTGTGGATCTCTGTAGATTTCCTGACATAAATAAAAAACAAGATTGCATTTGAGAAAAATGCTATGCCACCGCATTAATACAATACTAAATAGTGGTGTAGGAACAGTTTTTTTTGTTTCTATACAATTTTGAAGATTGTCATAATGCATAGATCCCTGACCTTATAAATAATCTAATTCTTATTATCAGATAAGTGGTTAAATCTGTTGTTAACTCAATAAAAGATCAGAGTAGGAATATATCAATGCACGCGAGTCTAGTGAATTTGGTGGTGAAGGTCATATTTCACACAGCCTAAATTTCATGACTACATCAAAGGACAACACAGTAAGACACTTTGTCAAAATCTAGGTCAGCTGAAATCAAAGTTCACTTTACATCTTAATCTGTGCACATGGTTCGAAATTTCATAGCTGTACATCAAAGGACAAGAAAGTAGGTCACATCATCAAAATCTAGGTCACCTGATATAAAGTTCAATTTTACAACTAAAACTGTGCACATGGTCAAAATTTCATTGCTGTAAACATCAAAGGACAAGAAAGTAGGTCACTGTCCCCTTGGGCAAGGCAAAACATTTTGACCCAAGGGTTTAATTCAAAACAATCTTGATACAGGTCCACCAAACAACATTTCAAGTCAAATATATAAGCTGTAGCTTTCTCCCATTCAGAAACATTTGTTTTATTTTTCTGTTTTTACTATGTGTACATACTGAGAATCACTGCCCCCGGGCAGGGCCAATTTTGACACCAGGGGAAAAATTTGAACAACTTTGGAAGAGGACCTATAGATAATATTACATAGCAAACATCAAATCTATGTCTTGTACCTTCAGACAAAAATATTTTTTTATTTTTTACTATATGTACATAATGAAAATCAATGTACCCCGGGGCGGAACCAATTTTGACCCAGGGCTATAATTTGAACAATCTTGGTAAAAGGTTCACTTCGCAAAGTCTCATTGCCATATATTTAACCTCTAGCCTATGTCATTCAAAGAAGAAGATTTTTCAATTCAGAGAAGAAAATTTTTCAAGTTTTTACTTTATCATATAAGGAAAAACTATCGCCTCTGGAGCAGGGCAATTTTAACACGTAGGGGCCTAATTAAAACAACTTTTGTAGAGGACCATAGATGATATAATATATAAATATCAAAGCTCTAAGCCTTGTACCTTCAGTACAAGAAGATTTTAGAATTTTTTACTATATGTACATAGTGAAAATCAATGACCCCTGGGATGGGGCAATTTTGACCCCAGGGCTATAATTTGTACAATCATTATAGAGCGTTCGACTACACAATTGTTTCATGCAAAATATCTTAACTCTAGCATTTGTAAATTAAGAGAAGATGATTTTTTAAGTTTTTACTATATACATATAAGGAAAACCTATGGCTCCCAGGGCGGGGCTAATTTTGACACTAGAGACAAAATTTGAACAACTTTGGTAGAGTACCTATAGATGATATCATTTAACAAATATTTAAAGCTCTAAGCCTTGGTACTTTCAGATGATAAGATTTTTTGACTTTTTTACTATTATGTATATATTGAAAATCAATGACCCCCCGAGGCGCGGGCAATTTTGACCCCAGGGCTATAATTTGAACAACTTTGCTAGAAGTTCACTTCTCAATGTTTCATGCAAAATATCTAACCCTTTAGCATTTGTCAACTGATAGAAGAAATTTTTTCTAAGTTTTACTATAAGTTTTTACTATATACATATAAGGAAAACCAATGACCCCTGGGGCGGGGCAGATTTTGACCCCAGGGCTATAATTTGAACAATCTGGGTAGAGGTCAACCAGACATGCCTTATGCAAGATATCTAAGCTCTAGGCCTTTTGGGTCTTTACAAGAAGGTATTTTAAAGTTTTTTACTATATGTACATATAGTGAAAATCAATGACCCCTGGGGCGGGGCCTATTTTGACCCCAGGGCTATAATTTGAACAATCTTGGTAGAGGTTCTACCAGACAATGCCTTATGCAAATATCTAAGCTCTAGGCCTTTGGGTCTTTACAAGAAGATTTTTTAAATTTATTCTTATAATTCCTTTTGGTTGCCATGGCAACCAGATTTCTGCATGGAATGAAATTCTTTGAACAACTTTGGAAGCCCTTCACCCCAAGGATCAATCCTGCCAAGTTTAGTTGAAATTGGACTAGTGGTTTTTCACAAGAAGATTTTTTAAGTTCACTATATAATCTATATAACACACACACACACAAACAAACACACACACAGGTGAATCGCTATATGCCACCGCATCGCAGATGCTGCGGTGGCATAAAAACATGACATCTTTTAGCATCGTTATATTTTTATTTGTAAACTAAAATTGTTTTTTAAATATCTTTTGTGTTTAAAATTATTTTCTACCCAATACAATTTCAGTGTATCAAATGAATCAATGTAACTTTGCTTCTTATAATTAACGAGTGAAAAAAATATAAATTAAACAATCAAATCATGATCAATAGAATGTGTGAAAATTAAACGTCTTTAACTTCAAAAAGGAAAAAAAACATCAAATGACAAAAACACGCTTCGCCAACTCGGCAAACTTTCGGAAAAAAAATCAAATGACAAAAACACACTTTGCCGACTCGGCAAAATTTGCCGATGCACATCATTGAATAATATCATTTTATCTACCGGTAATTAAAGTAAAAACAGATATGACCTACCACAGTTTATGTCAATTGCCTGTCCATTATCCGTAAAAAACAAACAATTAATCCAATCACTTTGTTTTCACGCTTATCAAGGTCATAAATCAACACTCGCTAATTCGTCACCCGCCAGGTGCATTCGCATAATTTCACCCATCGCTGTCATGTCAACCATTCAATTCAAGGGGCGGAGTTAAATGAATAATCCAATCGTACGCCCCGAAAGCGAGAAAAGGTTGGAAAATAGTCGTGGCGTACGTCGCAACTTACGATTTTCGCCATATTCCTTAATTTTTGGAAGTCAGCGGCACGTCTCTGATCTTAATTTTCGGCGTATAGATACCATTCTCGGGCGTAATTTACAGCCGTACGCCCATTAACAGAAGCCCTGATAACAATTAATCTAGATTCTACAATTCCATTAAAATAGATCTTTTCTTTTTGGTTACTACAGGTCTCAAACCTGGTCCTGGAGTCTTGCAGAGTAGGGGAATGCAGAAAAAATCAAAAACCTTAGGCTTAGCACCAAGCAAGAACTCGTGTTGTGATTTACTTTTCCGTTGCCCTTCCATGCATGACGAATTAAGTGGCTTTGCTTTAATTACAATTATTAGAATTTTCGAATTTTCTAAGATATAAATGACATAATGATAGTTATTTTAGTCTAGATAAAAATATTTTCATTTCAACATAATTTTCATCCAAAAGTCAGAAAGGTTCAAACAGAAAGTGATCCTCTTTTACACATAATTTATCATTTTTATAGAGAAAGGAGGACAATGCATTACGGGTGCACAGTTGTGTTATCGGATTTAACTAAATTACTTACAATAAAAATAATGATATCCAAAGAATAACTTCTAGTTTCACAAATAGAAAGATTTTGCGAAAATGTTTCGATGGTTACAGGAAGTAGGGGGCGCCTCAAATTTCATCGTAAGATATACACGTCGTGGGATTACTAAATATTTGATGGGTTGTAAAAGACTAATTTTAAGCAATCAATTTAAGATACGTTAGGCAGAGACGTCAAACCTTTTACAGTACATATAAGGCTTCCATTCCAAAATGTCTATACGATATATGTATTTACTTTCGGATAAAGTACGCAAAATTAATAAGTAAAAAGGTGTAAAACAACGGAGACCGTTTTCAACCGAAACATTCCACACTTTGATAATGCCACATTGCCCATTATTAATTATACAAACGCCCTAAGATTTTCTTTACTAAATCTATCACACACCTTAGCGTCTTGACGTGCCAACTGTACTCGTGAGAGGTTTTGCAGAGTAGATAGATTATTATTATTATTATTATTATTATTATTATTATTATATACCAAACTTCTTAAGCACTTTTTTCATGCACATTGACACGTTCAAAAGTACTGTACAATATAACCAAATAAATGATACAATATTTAAAAGAAAAAATAAATTAAAACATCAATATTGCTCAAGTCACAAATTCAAATCAAATGTAGTTTAAAAAAGTTAAAAAGACCCACATAAATAATAAAATTCAGGTAAGAACCTAAAACATAATCAGTCTAAATTAAGACAAAATGAGACTGAAGCTCTGAAATGAGACAAAAAAATAAATGTTTAAAAAATATGTGTAATATTTTATCATATCATTTTTTATGTATATATATATGTACGCCTGATCTCTCTATATTTAGATAAAAGTTAAATATACAAAATTGCGACTCGGACACGCTATCTAGACTAAGGCTTGGATCGTTCAGCACGACATTATTGTTGTGTTTGAGGTATTTTTAAATTTCAATATTTGTCATTTTCAAGTTGGGTGGTTTTTATATTCCTACTTAGATAATGTTGAATCAGGATATGTTGCTTGCCTTTTCACTTACATGTAGTCTTTTGACGTCTTATCTGTGATATACAGGCTTCATAACCTCTGAATCCCTTTCAAAATTCCAATTTGTTTAGTTCTGCACATTTTTTGTTTTCACACTTTCTATTACTTGGGGACCATACGCCGCTTTTTATGAAAGTGTCACATTGAAGGTTCCATGATAACCGCCGTATGAACTCATCTGCGGATGTTTCTAAATCAAAAATTTTACCATTGCATGTTGAATTTTGCTAAAGCCGGTGCTAGGGGGCTCTCACCCTCTTGATCAACGCCTCTCTTCAACAAGGAACGGTATACATGTACCTTCAGCCTGGAAGAAGGCAAATGTATCACCTATCTTCAAAAAAGGTGACCGCAGCAACTCCGCCAACTACAGGCCAAACTCCCTCACATCAGTATGCAGCAAACTCCTAGAACACATCCTACATGTACATAGCCAAATTATGAAACACCTTGACCACAACAACATCATGTCAAATCAACAACATGGATTTAGAAAACAACGCTCAACTGAAAGTCAGCTTCTTCTCTCTCTTCAAGACCTGTCATCAGCCTTTGATCAAGGGGAACAAGTAGATGCCATACTACAGGCTTCAGTAAGGCGTTGTGCCTCACCAACGACTCCATTCCAAGGTGGATCACTACGGCATCAGAGGGACAGTCAGAAGCTGCATCGAGAGCTTCCTGTCTGATCGCAGCCAACAGGTTGTCGTTGAAGGCCACTCGTCTGCATCCTCCCCAGTCACATCCGGGATACCCCAGGGGACAGTACTATGTCCTTTACTATTTCTCCTTTACATCGATGACCTACCAGGATGCGTGACTTCCACCAGCCGCCTATTTGCTGACGACAGCCTGATCTACAAGAAAATCAAATCAGAAGCTGACGCGTTAGCCCTCCAAGAAGATCTTGATCGACTCCAGGAATGGGAGCGCAAGTGGAAGATGGCTTTCAATCTCAGCAATTGCGAAGTAATACACATCACCAAGAAAAGAAGCCCCATCATTTATGCCTACAAGGTCCACCAATAAACTCTTCAGTCAATCAAAAGTGGAAAGTACCTTGGTATCAACTGAACATCGCAAATAATCTCTCATGGAACATACACACACAATCTATCAACAAGAAGGCCAACAACTCTCTATCATTCCTTAGAAGAAACCACAAGACATCAAGGCCCAGGCCTACAACACCCATGTTAGACCAATCCTGGAGTACGCAGGCACAGTCTTGGACCCACACACAGCCAACAACATCAACCAGCTGGAAGCTGTCCAAAGACGAGCTGCCCGATTTATAAAAGGCGATTACAAGACTACCAGCAACACCACTGCAATGATTGCAGACCTAGGCTGGCCAACTCTACAGCATCGCCGCTCCAATGCCAAGCTAGTGATGGTCTACAGGATCACGCACGACCTCATAGCCATCCCAGGTGCACAGTACTTCCACCCCCTGACACTTGGTGGCCACGGCTACGGACACAGATTCCATGTCCCATTCTGCAGAACAGACACCATGAAGTTCTCCTTTGTACCTTCGGCCATCCGCCTTTGGAACTAGCTTCCAAAGCACCTAGCCACAGCAGTCAACCTTGAGGCTTTCAAGGAAGGACTAGTCATGGGGCCCTTATATGCCGGAGTTGATTTTATTTTTAACATGTTCTTCTTTTAAATTTGCACTTATTCGCCGCACAACACTTTGTACATACACCCTGTACGTTAATGCCACAGAGTGGGTTATTGGAAGAAGAAGAAGAGGCCCGGGGCGTGGACGGTAGTCTGCACTTGAAAGTATCGTCCATGAACAGGCTCAATCAACCCGAGCCTGCAGCATTTTCAATTTTGCCGTTTTGGGCTTTCTTTAGGGATTCTTATTTTCTCTATTTGGTCTCAAGCTAGTAGCTGGCCTAAGATTCTGCTTTTAATTGAAACAATGTACAGGAATCTTCGTGAAATTAAAGTGTCATTCTCGTTTATTTCTCTAAATAAATCATACATTTAATAAAAAAAAAATACTTATTAGAAACAAAGTGGTCGGAACTGTTACGGATGTTCTTCAAACTTCCCTTTTAAATCTTTTGTAGACCTTCGTCTGTCTTCCGATAATTTTCTCTCTTTTTTCACACTGGTTTGTTATAATTTTTGGCAGTCTATACAAAAGTGCTTATCTTTTTTAGATGAGATGTTACGGCAATTGAAAATTCGGAAGTTATTCATCACTTTGTCTAATATATATTTCTTTTTTTGTTAAGTCGACGTAGACTCCATGGAAACCCATATGGATCTCAAAACTAAGCATACTATGTGAATTTCCGCTAATCAAGATGAAAGAGAAAATAGATCAATCACAGGATATATGTTTTCAAATATAAACTTTGATGTAAAATTCAAGGGGTTTTTTTGAAAATCGAAAGGTGATTCAACCATCCTGAATTTTCTCTGTATATACCCATTTTTGGTTCTGGATTTTTTATGCAATCTTCGTCAATATATTCTTCCCGTCGTGGGTAAACATGCAATATATATATATATATATATATATATATATATATATATATATATATATATATATATATATATATATATATATATATAATATATATATATATATATATATATATATATATATATATATATGAAGAAAATGCCACTAAAGGGACTCGAAACTTCCTAATGGTGTCGTATCCTTCATATATCGGCGATACGCCATATTTTATCATAAAAGTAAGCCATTTACTGTTACCGTGAATGTTGGAAGCTCTAAGGATACATGTATGTCATCATTAGAATTAAATGCCTCCATTTTTTAAGATTGAAACATGTGCTATATTTGATGTATACTGCATACACTATGTAATGATTGACACTAGAGTTTTTGTGACATTGGTACTGGTATGAATAGGTCATCACTGACAAAGCAATTTGTGTTGTTGTATTTAGGTTTGTTTATACTCGGCGCCGGAATAACCATATGTCCGAGATAAGTTATAGCATCCTTGCCGGTCTACTACGGTAGTCACATCGGGGACGTCTTTTTCAAGCAGAATCTTCCTGGTAGCCCATTTTTCGTTCGTCGGTGGTAAAGGAGACGACAATACTGTCAAGGCATAACTTCCTGACTGACGACAACAAAAACGGCCTTCGTTAGCGCCAACTCTCCAAAGTTAGTCACGACAGGTCAACCAATCACCTCTGGTACTTGAGATGACTTGATCTTGACCTGCCGTGTGCCTTCTCCGCGACGTGCACGCCTCTGGAAGGATTTGGAGAAGACAAAGCAATGCTTTACTGCTTCACCGGTTATTTAGGCAGTTCGTGTGGCTACTGTTTCCCAGTATACTTGTCAGATTGAGTTACACATATATTCTTGCTATAAAATCTGGCCCGAAAAAACTTACGCACTTCATCGTTCAATGTCTCTAAGCTGAATTTTGGTCTACAATTGTTATGTCAGTGTATTTTTATAAAAGGAAATTTTATTGACCGACGAGTAATTAGATTCTAAGTTGTTTGCTGGTTTGAACATTTAGTGAAAAGTTTTGTTATCTAAGAAGCTTAGCTTTGCATCCATGACGATGTTCCGACCTGAATACTACACATAAACATATATATTTTTTGTAACAAGATCATAATTACGTGACCGATTTTAACCGTGGTTTAATAATACTTTCTTTCTCTTTCTCCACAAATTTTTACAGCATTAGAGAGTTGAACCTTCCGGCCCTTTTTGAGAGAGCGACATTTCTACTTTCTTCTGCTTATCAACAGAATTACAGGTTATTTATACAGAGCAGTTAACGTTTTTTTTTCAAAACTGATTGTACATGTAATCAAGAAATTTTTGATTTTGGTATTTCTATTAATAAACATGAGATTGACGTTACGTTTAGAATTATTTTTTTACCTAGACACATTAATAATTATGGAACATTCAGTTAGATATATATTTTCTTTGACGTAAAACGAGACATTTATTGCCTAATCTAAAAACAATGGTAATTCTTGTCATAAAGTAAATTGTGAAAAAACAATAATGTTTGCACGAAGAATTTCAACTTATTACTTACTCTAAATTGATAAGGGAAATCATATCGTAAAAAACGAAATGGTAACCCTAAGTTCATTAACACTTCCAGCATCAGAACGAATAAAAAAATACGTGATTTGATTCCCAAGTCGATTGCCTTCATCAAAAATAAGGCACGCCATAAAACAGCCTTAAAGTACTGTCACCGAAGTATGTTTATCAACTTTATTTGCATATAAATCATTTTCGATGAGACCTGTCTTCGAGTGAGTATAAGAGGATTGATTCAATTTAAGGTTTTATCAACGCCTCTCTGGTTTGATGAATCAATATGTTTATTTTAACACGTTGATTTTTTTACCTCTACGCCTCGATTCACTTTCAAGTAGATATACGGTTTTTATATGTTTGAAAATACATGCATACTGTATATTGTTGAAGATATTGTGATATTGTGTATGTAAAACGTAATATACTCGTATTTAGATATATACATCCGAGAAATATAGTCCTTTGTAAACTGTTCTACTTACCGGATAGATCATACTATATCTTCTCCATTACCTTATATTTGTATCATTTCTATTTTGATATATCAGTCATTCGACTAAGCACTATCTTACCATTTTCTGACTTACAACCCCAATTTGTCATTTTTTTATCTCTGTCTTTTTACTAGGTCACATTATTAACATTTCTTTGTTAATACTTGACTTTTATTATAGCAAGATCTTCTATCGAACTTATTTTAGCTCTAAGATTCTCTATTTCCAACTCTAATTTGACGCTTTTGCATTTTTCACCCGCCTTAAGTCAAAGATCACTGTCTATATATAATATTCCCTATTATATACAAATCATGTTCTGAAAAATCCGCATTATTTACTGAAATAACTTATGTGTTTGGAAAATACCTTTATAAGCATGATTAAATAACAAAAACTCATTTTTTATTAAATAATTCAAGTGATTTAAAATATTAATGTATAATATTGAAAATCAAACATTTTGTTTTATTACCTCACCATTAAATAGAAAAAATAGGGGAAAGAAAAAGCAAAATTTACAGTCGATATTACAGTTACGTACAAAGATGCATTGTTGTATCTATATACGCGGAGCGTTGGCCCGTACCTTTGGGTATTACCTAGGTAGAAATCAGCTTAATAGATTAATGACCATTCAGAACTTACTATTCGGTAACTATAGGTCAAAAATAGAAAATAAGGAATTGTTGATATATGATCTGGAACATTTACAGTTGTAAAAAAGAATACATTTACGACATATCTTAAAGTGTATCATTGCTATCTTTGTAGACATAACTTAATCACCTTTGTAGCAATATTAAAGGTCAATCAGATCTGTTTCAAAATTCAAGCTCTCATGACTTTGTTATTACCTTAATTAAATGAATTAAATGTATGATATCGTTTTCTTTTCAGAGCTCATAACTTTTTACACGAAGTATATATGTATACTCTAGTAGTTAGTTACTTGAAGTATATTTAAATCATTCATTATAAGCAAGTATTAAATATTGTTGTGTATAGCATGATAAATTATATCTCATGGTAAAATCTTTCATGACATGTTTTTAGCGTGTGTAATGTGAGATCGATTTTACACAGCTGTTTCGTACTATACATAGGATAAAGGCAATATAATTATCAAGCTTTTCATTTCTTTTGTTAAGTATCGTTTTACGGTATTGAGCTGTACACAGCTGAATGACCGCTTTTAATGTACTGCTCTATAGTAAACAGGGAATTTGATATACACGAGAACAGGATATAGAATTTAAAAATGTTCTAAATAGTGATTACGACTCGTACTTAAAGAAGTACAAGGTCATCCGAGATAAAGCGTAAATCATGCTTTCATAGGATGTAGAAATGTTTGACTAAGGATAATCAATTCATAACACAGTGCACTGACACGTAGGCCGGTACGAATATTCAGTTCAAATAAACGTGTTTGCCATTCAACGAAGTCATTTAAGGTTACGTACACTCGGATATAAACTATGTGATATACAGAATTACAATATATACGCGCCAAATTGTAACAGGTCGTTGTATAATCAGTGATTAATCGATGAAGCTCTCTCCCTTGGTCAAAGCTAAATCTGACAAGTGATTGGTAGCAGGAACTATTTCTGTACTTATAGTACGACAGGATGGCCACATTTATCGGAATTGGTTGTATGTCCGGATCGTCTCTGGATGGCTTGGATATGTGTTGTGTTGAGTTCACAGGGGATGTCTGCTCAGATTTGTGGGGTTATCGGATCTTGTGTGCTCAAACAGTACCGTATACTGCAGAGTGGAGCGCTAAGCTTAAAAACGCGGCAAAACTTTCGGGTGCAGACTTAATAAAACTTCACGTTGAATACGGGCTGTTTATTGGGAAAAATGTGTCAGAATTTATAGAAAATAACAATTTGGAAAATGTTCAGTTTGTAGCATCACACGGGCATTCAGTTTTTCACCAGCCATCAGATGGCTTTACATTTCAATTAGGAGACGGACAAACGACGTCAACCCAGCTTTCTGTTCCGTTTGTCTGCGACTTCCGGTCCAAGGACGTTTGCCTCGGAGGCCAAGGCGCACCTTTAGTGCCATGCGGAGAGCGTTTTCTGTTCACAAACAATGAAATGTGTGTTAATTTAGGAGGAATAGCGAATATAGGAATAAAAGGTCACAAAGGTTATGACATTTCATCTTGTAATATAATACTGAACCGCCTCGCTGCCCAGAAAGATAGCAAATTGCTATTTGACAAAGATGGTAATATTGCAAGAAGTGGAAAAATTGTTAACGAGGTCCTTGAAAGATTAAATAACCTGTCATATTTCAAATTGCCACCGCCAAAATCTTTATGGAGGGATTACATTGAAAAAGAAATATACCCACTGTTAAATGTAAGTTAATAATTTAAATGTAGACATTTGTACAGTTATAAAATATTTGTACTTAACATTCTTATCATAGATTTCAAAATTAATATACAATCAGCTCAGCATAAACTCATTTATTACATTTAAAATAACTTCATTAATTACCATATTGTCTAATTAATTATGTTTAATATCTGAAGTTCACCTTTTTTTTCTCTCAATAGGTGAAGGAAAACAAAGTTGAAGATCTGTTGCGCACGTGCACAGAACATGTGGCGTTTAAAGTTGCTGAAGCATGCATTAAAGCTAAAGAGCTCGTGCCCAACGTCAGCGTCCCTAGCGTTCTTTTCACCGGCGGAGGAGCGTTAAATAAATTCCTGCTTGAATTAATACACGAGAAATTAGATGGCAGGGGGTTTGAAGTTGAACAGGCAGACGAGGATACAATCAATTTCAAAGAAGCGCTCATTTTTGCATTTATTGGATTACGATGTTTACTTGGCGAAGAAAATGTATTCCGGGAAATTACAGGTTCGAGTAGCGACACGATTTCCGGCAGTATTCATAGACCTTTAACAAGTGGTGCTGTTAAACCTATCAGTCTGCTGAACAAAAGATAGTGCTGTTGATGATATCCTAGGTTTAATGTATATACGTATCTTATTTATCAAACTGTGTCTTGGCTCACACTTTTACGTCTGTAATTAACTATGATTAATTGAACGAAAAAAAAAACCCGAAAGCATTTTAATAATTGTGACTGTAATTAGAAAATTGATAGCTCTAAACAGTAAACATTAATTAATCAATTTCTCTCAAAATACTTGTCTACACCTACATCACCGACATTTTATGACACATCATTACCATCAAATGAGACTGGAATGTGTACCTTCACAAAATCTGCCGAATGAAAATAAAAAGTTCATAACCGTTTTTTGAAGGTAAATTAAATAAATGTTCATGGACGTTTTAAAGGGGTTTTGGGAAATTCGTGTCCGATTGTTTTTTATAGTTTGTTTCGATTCATTTTGATGTGTATTCAAACTTAGTCAGTTGCCAGTATGTACATGTATTTATTTAGTCTACAGTAAAGTTTACATTTCGTGCGTGACAAATGCATTTTAAAAGTGTTTAGTTTTGTTGAAAAACATTTATGTTCAAGTGTAATAAAGTGTGCTGACCGAGAAATAGGTTGGTAACGTATTTAAGGAAAAAAGATATCATCAAAGTACACGAGTCAGTGTTTATTACGAAACTGTGTTCATCATACTGCATGTGAAACGTGTATTCACCATGCTACATAGATTGTCACAGAGTGTTCAACATGATACACGAGAAATATGTGTTAATTATACTGCACGAGAAACGTGTGTTCATCATACTGCACAGGAATCATGAATAGAAAGAACATTTTTGCAATGTGCTAATGTGCTTGGCATTTAAGTATACTTTCAAGTATAATCATTGCGTCTTGCCTCGTGATTTTAACATACTTTCAGGTATTATTATGTCTTGCCATGATGAATATCCGGGATGAGATATTTAAACTACATGTATAATGATATATTATCATGTTGCAATATATAACATTCATTCATTACTATCATTTAGGGTAATCATGTGACCTTGTCGATTATAGCGTAATAGTTAATAGATATTTTGAATATTAGGCTCGTGGCTGAATAGTTAAAGGCCCATTATGCCTAAGAAGTGCTATTATTTTTATTTCTTACAGCCTTTTTATTTTTCTTGTTCTGTTTCCAAAATGTTACTCATTTGCTTATTACCTGAATCTTCTTTTGCTTCTGTTGTCTTTTCATAATTAGTACAGTAGTGAGTAAGTATTTTGTATGGAAGTCAAAGTACTACTTTGTTTACATTTTGCTACTATTATGACAAATAATTTTGTATTCAACGCTACTTTCTGTATGTGATAAGCATTTGACATGCGCTTAAATCATTGTTCAAGCACAATGCAAGTGAACATCATGTTTGGCTATTCTAGAATATGGGAAACTCTAAGGCATACTGTGCCTTTAAGGACACTGACTTGACTTCAAAATACTCCCTCGTATCCAAGGAAAGCTCGATCTAACCAAGGGGCATATTTTTATCATCACCAATAAGTACCAAAGGTAAACAGAATGCGTGTTGCCATTATCAAACATGAATTATTTTTTAAGTTTGCTCGAACCATATTTCATACATTAATTTGAAATTTAAAAGAAGATTTAGTTTCGCGTCAATGAGTATAAAAACTTTTGAGCGATTGAAAGTTGTACTTCTGTTTAATGTATGGTGTTTAAATAAACACTGAGTTTCAAAACATGATATTTGTTTTCTTCTAGATGCATGTATATCAATATCTTCGTTTGAAAAAGAAGAAATGATAAAACAACAACAAAAAACAAACCAAAAAAAAACAACCGCTTATATGAGTGACACACGTTATTCATTAAAAGATTAATAAATCTTACTTTTTCAACTTGTGCTATTTATCTAATCAGAAAAAGTAGTATAATTTATAAACTTACGGTAATATTTATCTCTGTTTTTATATAGGTCATTGACATTTTACAACAAAGACAACGTTATTGCTTAAAGACAACCTGACTAGTTAATTTACTTAATTTCCATGACTAATTTACCTTGAGGCTTTTGCCTTTGTTAATATACTGCTCTTTTTGTATTTTATACCAGTCACATGTTTTGTGTTATGTACTCATTCAATGTCTTTTAAAACTTCTTAGTTATACGGGTTTAACCCTGACCATGGCTAAAATGGCTAGATGACCTTAAAACTTCCACTGTGCGGGATTTAAATATCAAAATATGGACATAATGGTATTGTCCTGAATTTGTGACCATGGTAATTTCCCATAATTCCGGGTAACCCATTAAAACATGTCATTTCACAGTCCATATGGGCGAGTCCTCCAGAAGAGTATTAGACATTTTAGATTTTGGAGAAAAGTGCAAGATAGAGATACAGAATGATGGCCCAATTCCAGAAGCTTCTCCTAGTTCTTTAGCCTGTCAAGTGTTTAAGCACTCATACACGGGACCTTGATTTAAAGTCTCTTCCGAAAAACTTACTAGTAATTTTAGTTGGCCAGCCCAGGAATCAAAACCACAATGTTAAGGTTACAAGTCTCGCGCTCTAACCAATGGGGTTATGCGGGCTGGTTATGGGCAATCGTTGCCGAGTATAAATATACTTAAATAAATAAACCCACGTATCTTAAACAACCCTAGATTATACAACATTTGATGTGTTAATAGGTTATCAGTTTCTATCTGTCTCCTCTGAAGTCTAAGTGTCTCAATGTTAACCTTGTATGAACTTTATGAAGTATGAACTTTATCTATCTTGACCTTGTAATAGATAAAAACTAAACTTTTTTCATACATGCTTGCTCATACAGGCATGAAAACTAGTTGGAATAGAATGCCATTATTTCGGAAAGTCAAGCAATTATGAATAGAATCACATTTTTATGTCTCCATGTTATATTTCTTATACAATAAAAGCACAGAGAAACTTATTGTCCATACAAACTTGATATAATTTAGAGAATTAATGTTGTTACATATTGTATAACAGTTAAAATTTACAATAATACTTCAAATATAAAGTGCTTCATTAGTACTGATATAAAGCACTACATCTGTAAACATAAAGGCTCTATATAAAAAGAAATGTTTATACAAGCTCGTAAATAACTTTACCAAAGTGATTAAATTGTAACGTATGTGAAGTTTCACTTCACGCTGCATTACACTTCTTCTATACAGCTTGATTTATAGACTAAACAATATATTAACTCAGTTTTAAAAAAAAATCTTTACCTAAATTGTTAAGAAACCTACTTTCTTTAATAGTTACCTGGATTTGTAATGTAATGTAGTACTCAGGCCGGAACATCATCAAGGATGCTAAGCTGAGCTTCTTAGGCTGATTTGGTAGACATGGCTCTAGACTAGTCACTTTAGAGACAGCTATGAGATACAAGGGAATCCGGCTCTTATTGAAAAGACCCCTTGGTCCGTTTACATACCAAGTGTATACCACTTATACAAGCGAGGACTACCAGGACTTCTTACCTGTACACCTCTAATTAGGTGGGAAACACTGAAAGTGTCTTTGAAAAATCCCAAGGGTGTTACCCAGCATCGAACCCGGGTCCTCGGGAGTGACAGCCAGTGGTCTAACCAACTGAGCTAGCGCTTCACCATTTATGCAATCCTCTTTCCCCGCTATAAAATTTTGAACCCTCTATTGCTGGTGCTAGGGATTTGGCTGTTAAATGCAACCAGCAGACTGCACGGATGTACGAGCTGGCCTGATAAATAGGTCAGTCATTTTTGTCACGAGTATGTTCACAGAATTATAGATAAAGTGCTAATAAGAACTATAGATAATAAGAACTATAGATAATAGTGTTAGAAGCGATATGTCGTAACGTTTTTACATAAAGAACCAGCCACCATGAAAAACTGTTTCAGTTGGACCAGTCCATTGTTGAATATTTATTTTAAGCATTTATATATTAACCTTTCCTATATCAACAATAGGCAGCTACGTTGCACAAGTCATGAAAATAGTTCCACTAAATTTAGCACTATTGAGGCCAATCAATTTCCTCAAATATGAGACATGTCTGCCAACATGAATTATAAAACACAGTTCACTTCTTTACTTCATAATACCTCTAAAGTGATCAATTACATTTAATAAAAACATAAGACGGAAATGTATTGAAGAACTATATTGACCTAACAAAAGAATGTCAGTATACATGAATATGAGTCAAGAATAGTTACAATACGAACATTTGCTTTGTTTTCAATGTCCAAGAATAGTTCAGCTGTGTTTTAAAGAATATTTACCGGTAATTGATTTCAAGTTTCCAATTAACAATTCCCTAAGAAATGAAACAGGTTTGATGGTGATTGACTAGATGCAACTGCTTTTTCACCCCGTGTGTAAAACTGTAAGGAGATTTGAAGTTTATTTCTCTTGCCAACGTTACACGGTTATTGTCATAGTTACATAGAACACGCTGCCTCCTGTAGCAACCTTGGCAGACGACATTTACTGTAGCACGTAGCATGTCAATCAGGCCAGCGTCTAACCCCAGCAAGAATATGTTTAGCTAACGATTAATAGTCTGTGCCAATCAATGACATGGTGTTTAGGAGTCCCTGAGGTAACTGCCAGACTAGACTAATGTAATGTTCACACAGTGCCTAAAACCATTAATTATATCATCTACAACATCCACAACAGCAACAAATGTCCATGCAGTGCTTTACTTACTTTAACATTTCAAACCGAAATCTTATGAACATATACATGTATAAAGTCAGATCGTTGTGGTTTTTTTGTGTTTTTTGTTTTGTCTATAAGCAAATGGCTTGGAAAGAAAGATCATTTGTGCATATTGAATATTTTAACAGAATATATAATTTTAAGTTAGCATAAAGGCATAATATAACGACGTTTCAGTATCAACATTACAATTTGCGTTAAGCAGTCATGCATATTTATATTAAACCTCACAATTGACAAAATTATGGTACTTTAAAACCATTTAAAAGTTACAGTTAACTGCAGTAACAGATTTAATCAAAGCAAAAAAGAAAAATATTTATTTTTCATTTTGCTTAAACGTCGGTTACATGAAAATAATATATTTTTTCAAGGTGAATACATTTGATTTTGAGTTTTACAGAAACTTTAATTTGAAAATACATTCTCTTTGTACCTAGATATTTAAGATACATTTAAGAACACCCAAGTTGTAAATATTGCAGACAAGGTTTGATTAAGCCTGTTCATTTACGATAGTGGTAACTGATAGCTACTGTCCATGACCCCCAAGCACCGAGGAAACCAGACATTATAACGGTGATTAAATTAGAATTTTGAAACATTCGTAGATGTGTTAAACTGTAGCCAAATTATTTAACAGCCAATTTGAATCACTTGGGCAATATCAGTACATCTATTAGTTCATCAAACTACGATACTGTTATATAACAAAATACTTTGAAGAAAAAGAAAAGCAAAGCAAACAAACAAAATCAACAACAAAAAACAACAACATAAAACACAAAATAAACACAAGGAAACAACAAGAAAAGAAAAGAAAAGAAAAAGAAAAAACAGCAGCAACAACAACAGAAATACAAATCATTTGGAAAAAAATCTTATTTCCTCTGAACCTTTATAACTTTTAATAAGATTTTTATAAAGACATGATGACAAAGAGATGAATTACACGGTGAGATATTGGATATTTGATTTTCTGATCATGGTTGAGTATCGTGTAACACTTTAAACTCGTCATGTCCAAACATAAGACGAAATTTCAAGTTCATTATCTATTCAGACGTTCAACTTGTTCTTTTTTTCTTGTTGACACAATTTAGTACAAAAACAACAACCATCAAGAGCACGCTATCAACATATTGTAACAAAGTGTCTCACATAATTTACGATAATTTTCAGTGTGACCTGATGAAAAGCATAGTTCACTGGCCTGCTTATAGATGATACTCCAAGTATTAACGTCATAAAATATGGGTTTATTGTTCAGATGACATAAAATCTTAACATTCTTTTCCGTTAAAAATATTTTTATTGAAAAGTCCCATTTCCAAATACAGGAAGGTCGCGATGTTGTGCAACATGTTGTAAGAGAAATAAAGATAACGTACATATGTAATCAGAATGTACTATTTTTCAAACTATTATTTTGTTTCTAACATGTATGTAATTGTACAACAACATATTAACCAAAACATCATGATCATTTCTAACGGCTATCATATTAGTGGCAATTAATCCCCTTTGAAGTAAATTAGGCTATCAAGTAATGTTTTTGAAACCTTACGATTGATTGATTGATTTGATTTGATTGATTGATTGATTTATTGATTGATTTATTGATTGATTTGATTGATTGACTGATTTGATTGATTGATTATGATTGATTGATTGATTGATTATGATTGATTGATTGATTGATTGATTGATTGATTGATTGATTGATTGATTGATTGATTGCAGTTAATTACATTTTCTTTTAATGAAGCTTTTCCATCACATTCAAGGGGAATTTTACATACCTAAATTTGTTTTGGCATAGGTTTCATCCGTACAAATAGTCAGACTTAAACTAAACAACTGTTACAACGAAAAATCTGAATGTTGATGCTTTTGAGCGGTTTGACAAGAGATTATAAAATTAGGTATATAAAATTAGGTAAACAAAATAAAGCTTGCAATTAATAACACGTTAACACGTATCGGCATCGTTTAAAATAGTTGATACAGTTGTCTCCCCTGCTTAAATACTACCATCATAAGAGGTAACTCGTCAATTTTTTCAATATGAAAAGGAAAACTTTCACTATTAAAATTATTATAGTTGTGATAATTTGATGATTACTGTTCAAAGAAATTTACCGTGTTTTCAAATTGATACTTACACGTGTTGTCTGCGATATTTTAATACTGATTGGACATAAATGCTTTTTTTTCCAAAAGGATCACTTTTTACATGCCCGAAAGAATTTCGGACATTTATGTTATACCCCCTGGCGTCCGTCCGTCTGTCTGTCCGTACAAAACAGAGCAACATTATGGGGTTAGGTCTATTGTTCTCATAACAATAGATGTTCTTACCAGAGCTACATTATTGGGTTTTCTTTTGTTATTTCTTTTGTTCTTTTTAACCCCACAATGCAGAAAATAACCCCACAAGAGAAACGGAATGAATGACATCAAAGACATCCGAGCAAACATTTTGGGTTTACGGGTTATATAACAGAAAAGAGAACAAAAGAGAACAATAGGTTCATTCCGTGATCAAAGGGTTTATGGGCTAGTAGCCCTTAAGAAAACAAAGAAAATAACAAAGAAAATAGCCCCTAAACCCAAAATGTTTGAACGTCCGTCCGCCCGTTAGCAATTTGGTTTCCGGAGCATAACTAAAGTTCCATTTGGCCCACAATATTCAATCTGATGATTGCCCATATTAGCTACAAGATCCCTATTGATTTTGGGGTCAAAAGGTCAAAGGTCAAGGTCACTATTACCTTAAAACTGAAAACAGTTTCCGGAGCATAACTTAAGTTCCATTTGGTCCACAATACTCAAATTTCATAAGATGATTGTCCATATTGGGTAGAAGATCCCTATTGGTTTTGGTGTCACAAAGTTAAAGGTCAAGGTCACTATTACCTTAAAACTGAAAACAGTTTCCGGAGCATAGCTTAATTTCCATTTGCCCCAAAGTATTCAAACTTCATAGGATGATTGTCCATATTGGATTAAAGATTCTTGTTGATTTTGAGGTCACAAGATCAAAGGTCAAGGTTACTATTACCTTAAAACTGAAAACAGTTTCCGGAGCATATTTTAAGTTTCATTTGGCCCAAAATATTCAAACTTCATAAGAAGATTGTCCATATTAGGTAGAAGACCTCTATTGATTTTTGGGCCACAAGGTCAAAGGTCAATATTACCTTAAAACTGAAAACAGTTCCCGCTCAATAACTAAAGTATTAATCATCCTATAGCTGAAAAATTTTATAGGATGAACAGCCATGTCTAATACATGACCCCTATTGAATTTAGGGTCATAAGGTCAAAGGTCAGGGTCACAATGATCTTTACACTGAAAATTGTGGTTTCTGGAGCAAAACTTAAGTTCCATTTGGCCCACAGTGTTCAAACTTCATAGGATGATTGTCAATATTGAGTAGAAGACCCCTTGGGTCACAAGGTCAAGGTCACTTTCCGTCCATCCGTCGTAGCATTTTATACTTACAATATAACAACTTGATGATGGTGCTTTTGAAACAGCAACTGTATACATATATATGAAGGTTCTTCAGCTATAAACTTATTTAATTCCCATGTCTTACAAATGCTTCATCCTTACTAAAAAAAAAAAAAAAAAAAAAACTTTTTCGTGCATATAATGCACCGCCTATAGCGATGCTCTTGTTGAAAGTCTGTCAAGTGCAAATTCACACTTAAACATATTGTAAAGGAAAGTATTAGATTGAGGGTACAGAAAGGAGGAAGACAATCTGGGCAGATCATAAATCTCACAGCACATTAAATCAGATATAAGAAGCATTGATAAATGTTGAATTCTTCTTAAGTCGGTTTTAGGGGGCTAGGGCGACAGCTTGCTATTACCACTACCGTGATTAAACCGGTCCAGCGACATTTTCAGTTTTGACGTATGGAATCTGTTTTTCTCTATTTTACAGAAATAGATTCTGGTAAACATGTTGGAACTGTATTTGAAGATCTAAGAAAAGCTTTTGATTATTTGCATGGCCAAAAAAGTTTTTTTAGATACGTTAAAACTTTATCATTTTTTTTCAGATTATAATTTGTCTTGAAATTTTCAAAGTTATGACATTTGTTTCTAAACTTGATTATAAATTTGCATTATCGTGGCGTATTAATTATTTCACACGATATAGTGTTTGACAAATGAAATGAAACAGTTATTTTCAATACATATATTATACCGAAATTTCTATTAATGCTGTACTGTTTGGAGCAAAAGAAATCAAAGGTAATTAGATATAATTATAAAAACAGAGCTGCAAGATTTTAAAACATTATATGAGCCGTGTCACGACAAAACCAACATAGTGGGTCTGAGACCAGCATGGATCCAGACCAGCCTGCGCATCCGCGCAGTCTGATCAGGATCCATGCTGTTCGCTTACAAACCCTATAACAAATAGAGAAACTGATAGCGAACAACATGGATCCTGATCAGACTGCGCGGATGCATAGGCTGGTTGGATCCATGCTGGTCGCAAACCCACTATGTTGGTTTTGTCATGACACGGCTCAATTCTATTTTGTAAGAACTGAATTTCATTCAATAAACGATATATTTTATACTAGGACTCTTATAAAGCTTTTAACAACCTTGTACCTTCTTATATATCTGAATTTTTGAACTTTCGGATATGAAAAATTCACATTTAAAGATATCAAAATCTTGCAAAATTGACAAGTTGGAGAGATCGCTTACCTATACAATTTCAGTGTCGATAGAAATCTCGTTCAAGTATTGATCAAGTATTGATCCATAACGTGTTCCATAATTTGACTTCATGCCTAAAATTAGCAACGGTATTTTAAAAACATTTTGCAATAAATACAGGTTCTACAACAAATATAGTACCTGGGGATTTACCTTAATGTAAGAATAATACCCGAATTAGTCACTAAATACAGCGAACGTGTATATATACGCTTTAACAAAGTGATCGTTTATTAAGATATAAAACATCTAAGGCGTCAGGTTTTTACGTTTAAAAGGTATGTCTTTTTTACCAATTCATTATTTTCGTTACTACCATTATTATTTGTTTTGTACGGTACTGATCGTCAAAACCCACACATTCATATACAAAGTAAAGCCTCTGAAAATCAGCATCGTTTGGAAGACTTTTTATTTTGGTTATTGCTGAAAGGGGTAGTTCCTAGAGAGTTGAAGACTTATTTTTAGAAGCATTGTTGATAAAGGAGTTTGTTTTTTTACACAGGGTCGCTCTACAGAAGGTGTTTTCTAATGGAAAATGTATATATCTATAAACAGTTTGCTGATATAAATAATCATTTTACAATATATATTATTATTGTTATATTGGCATTGGTTGGTTCTTACGTTTTGCTCCGCCGAACGTTTAACAAAGTTATCTTTACATTTTTGACAATAAATTAAAAAAAATAGATTCTAAATTAATTAATTAATTTTTTTAAAAAATGTAAGAAACAATAAAAAAATGTATATAAATTAAAAAATATACACGTAATAAACAAATAAATGTTGCAGAATATTGTCCCTATATTTTGGTGAATTATTCTGGCTTGGAAATGTGTTCTTATAGAGTTTTGTTAAATTGTTGAAGTTATTATTAAACAATTTACTAATGATATACAGTAATAAATTTTTCAGTTACAGACTCCTATTCATATTGCGTTAAATGATGAATAACATGTACATTCTTCAGTGAGTTGTGTTGTGAAGAAGGACATATTGGTGTCGTATATCCAAATTCTCTTGTCTTCATGTATTTTATTTATAAAGATATAATTTTACAGGATCAATTCACTGACAAACACCATGACGTCATCAGGACAGGTGATAGATGATGATAGAATATCTCGTATATCAGTTGCCAGCAACGCTGTAGCCGCTATACCGAAGAGTGATCTGACAGAAACTAAAAGTTATGCAGCGCCACCACAAGCTGTAAAAGATGTATTGGAAGCTGTGATGATTTTAGTAGGATACAAAGGGGCTGATTTGGTAATTTATATGAAGGACAATAATCTTAATGCCTTTAATCAGTTCAATTTATGAACAATATGCCTAGTTAATGACTTAAATGTAACACGTCTTATATATTGCGTTAAAGTGACATTATGCCCATACAAGGGTATATATCCTTTTAATTTAATTACCTCATTCGCATAAGATAAATAACTCGCGATGTCCAAGGCATTTTTGTGAATATCCAATTCTTTAAGTTGTTTAAAAAAGAGTACGACAGTCTTTTTATGTTTTAAGCAGATTCATATTTTAAACTAATCGTTTTACAATATTAATAGTTATTGTTCGTCAATCACCATTTTAACAGTCAATCATTTGAAATACTAGTATTAAGTTAATTCAGTTCAAGTTGATAATGAAAACTGAGCATAATGTCACTTTAGTGTATAAAGTTTTCTATCTGTTGTTATAGAGTTAGTGGCTGCAGTACAAACACCACTCCTCAACCGATGAAGTCCAAACTTGGACTTGTCTAGACCAAACCAGTTAAACCTCCCTGGTTCTAGGATAACAAATTGGCTTAGATCATTTCAAGAAATTATCATTCTAGTAAAAGAGGCCATTAGGCCTAAATACTTAACAAAACAATGGCAAGAAAAGGAAATACTCGTTCAAAAAGAAATTTACTTGTTACCGACATATTCAAGCTCATTTCCAGGCATCGTATAACTTATTTTTACACATTGATAGAGTAGTGTACATACTTTTGGTATACAGAAATACATTAGTAATAACGAAGATCATGAAACATGCTACCATACCCTTTATGTATCAGTATTCAGTATATATGTGCTTATTCAGAGATTTTTTTTTATATATTTAAAATGTAATTATATTTCTTTATGTAAAGGACTGGAAAAACATAAAGAAGGTCATAGGGGGAACACAATTTTTGAAGACCATCGGAGATATCGATTATGAAAAGATTTCACAAGAAACTCGTGCGAAGGCTATGAATAAAGTGTCTGAATATTCTCACGAAAGTATTAAGGCAATAAGCAGCGCGACAACAATATTTTATGATTGGGTATGTATATTTTAACGGATTTGATCAGTTGAGTTTAAATCTATTTATTTAGCTTGATTGTGAAACAAGTTCTTGCAACTTATATTGATTTATCACTTTGGAGTCCGCTTCCTGGAACTTATCAGTCATAAGAAGAAACATAGCTGTGACCAGAGTCTTGGGTTGAGAGGCAGGCACCTTAACCACTAGGTCACCGATCTCCTTAACGGTGTTTTATACTTTCGTTATTATAGCCGTCCTTAGGCAGCACATGTTTCATTTTTATAGTGATTAAGTAAGAAATAAAACTTAGCAGTTGCTATAGGGCAGTTAATATGTCACAATTTCAGAGCATAATATGAGTAATATTCTCACAAAGCTTTCGATAAATGTACAACACAGATCTTCTAATCCCTTTTGAAGCATCATTATTTCTAGAGTCAGGATGGCCTGTACTTATATGCACTCTGGCCCGACTCTACATTGTCGGCCGAATAACTTTATATTTTCGTATTGATAAATTAATTGATTTATTTAGATCTAATTAATTAAACTGGGCTGGGGAATTCCATTTCAGTATTCTACAGGTACCAAATACTTAGTATGTAAGTTTTTTTAAATACACCTTAGTACGTTTCATATAAACATAATTTTTATAATATAATGTTTATTTCCAGGTTATAGCAGTAGCTAAGGAATAGCAGAGTGATGTGTTTCACAGAAAACTTGCAATATTGAAATTTCACTGCGGAAGCTTACATACATTGGCACCCAAGGACATTCGTGTAATAAATGCGAAATTATATTATGATGACGACATTCATAAAAACAACAATAATTCTTACAACCGCTCCACTTTTCATTACACATTAATATTTTTGTACCATTTCTATAATTTAATGTAATCTAACACATGTTTCTATTTTAATGTTTGTTATTCTGCGTATAAGAAACTGTTGCATAGCAACAACAAAGATGACGATCAACCCATCTTAATTTTATATTTTGATTAAGTCTTTCTTGTCATAAAATGTGATAAATTCTGTAATAGTGCAATAAAGAGTTTTTCAATGAAACCAAAAGTGTTGTGCTTTTTTTGTTTGTTTGTTGTTTTTTTAAAGTGGACGGATCCACATAAGATCTCTATCTTTGCGCCTAACTGCCTTTATCAGGTCCCGAAGTAGAAATAAAAGCCAGCCGTTTGTGATTATGGTTCATTTCACATGGTACTTTGTCAGTACTTCATTTTTCCAATTTCATTGTGTATACATACGTAATTATACATTTTAACATATTAGAACCAAAGATATATTAAGTTGTCGCACAGTTTGTAATATGATGACTTTCCAGCTTTCCTGGTGGAGGAAGACCGTATTATTTCAGGCAAGAACTGGCCCCATCGACGTTCCGTAAGCTAGCTTGATAGCTCCCTCACATAAAAGAATCTAAAATCCCTTGAGGTTCAAACTGCTATGAAAAATGCTTCAATACTAATGAAACTTGGCACAAATGTTGACTGGACCATAACCTCTGTAACATGATGCTCAATCTTAAATTTCCTGTTACAATGGCAACGGGGGGACGTCTCAAAATTGCCAAAAATCGCTATTTTGCATTGTTTTTTTCCATCAAAACTGATTGCATTGAGATAGAGTAAAAGGCTTTTCAGCGTTGGTTACACGTTACATTAAGATCGTCCTGAGGTCATTTTTAGCCTGTCACATGTCCAAAATTTTCTTGGCGATGAGGGGGACTGTTACCCCCTTCAAACCCCCCAAACAGACGGGGGCACATCCCCCTTCTGGCAACCCCCTGATGTATCTTTTGGATAGGGGGCGGTGCCAAAAAAATGGTCACTTTTTTAACAACATTTCTCAAACGAAAAACAGTGTTTGGGGTCTAAACAGGGCATTTTTTAACTGTTTGAGGCCTCAAAAGGGGGTGGGGGCAAAAAGCCGTCAAAACACGTCTATATGAGGGAAAAGGTTAATGAAACACTCTAAATTGTATAAATTATACTTAAATATCAATGTTTCAATGTGAATTTGTATTATATGATTTGTATATATGAAGGTATTGTTATGATGATGAGATTAATACTCAAGTCTAAAATATATTTCTGTTCTTTTCTGTTCTGTTCATATTTTACTTACCTATATGCCATATTTTCCTTAAGTCATGTGACAATATTGTAATAAATTGATAGAAAATATCATGTTAATAATATTGCGAGAAGTTCAACCCTTACAACAAAAAGACTTTACTGCGATAGTCACGCACTAGAGATATGGTGACGAATAATTCAAAATCAGCCGGTAATCGCGGAGGCATGCACCTTTAACCTGCTGTAACCGGAAGTGACCAGTATGTAGAGCCATGCCAGTCTGCAAATCTGTACATCATGACCTAGTTAAAATATTTTGACGTGACTAAGCTAAATTCTGTGATATTTTAGTTCTAGGTCATATTCTCGCTTCGTAAAGCGAACATATAGCTCATACCCAAAATATCACAATATCTCAGTGCATAGTACAATTAGTTGGACTAAGTATGACCAGGCTCTATACTGTTGGTAGCCCAATTTTTAGAGCTTATAAGTTAATTGGCAATCTGAATAGGCTTTATCTTGATGTTCCAAAAAATGATAATTGGAGTTCCATCAATAGAAGCTGGATTACTAGTAGTACATTAAAGGAATCGAGAAGATTTAAGGTAAATGACCCAAAAATATTGAATGATATGTACCTGACATGAAAAGCACTTCTAAACATTAAAATAACGTCAGTATATATAAGAACTGGAATAAACTCTAATTTACTACACTGATTGGTAAATATTAATTACATTAATTTTTCATTCTTACACAAACCGATGCGAATCAGTAATTATTAATTTGGTGATAGACCTTTAAAGCTGCATGCCTCCAGATAAGCCAAAATATTTCAAGAAAATCAAACTTGAGAAATGATTTTAAGAAGAGTGAAAAGATTCAAGCACTAATTTACATGTAATGTGCGATAAATTACTGATTTTGCAGTATTATTCACCAAATTTCTTTAGCGTGACTAACGCAATAAGGGCTATTTTTGCATATTAGACCTCCTTATGGTAATTTACGTGGAATGTAAGTGCCATTTGCAATGTGTTAATGACTTTCTCTGTTCACTTCACAATATTTTATTTGTATATATATTTTCAAAATGATCATGGAAATTAGCATGAATCTGGAGGCAAGCTGCTTTTAATTATTTCTAATAAGGTATAAAAATTTAGTGCCATCTCATAATATAGTAGATCTATCACTTTAACCTATTCTCAGAAAATAGGTTATGTTTGTTTATGTTAATTAGTAAATAGATCTAGATTCAGGAGACTATTTCGAGTTTCAGCTTCATGTATTAACTAATAACTAGATGCATTATTAGTGCTTAAGAACACTAGGTACAATCGCAACTTTTCGGCGCTTTCCGTCAGTCTTCGGATAAGGATAATATAATATAGTAGATAAAACCCGAGGACATTCCGATTGCACTTGGTACTGCATAAACGGATTACTGCTTGTTGCGAAATCCTCCTCCCCCCAACCCCCCCCCCCGTTGAGCCGAAGCATCATGCACGTACGTGCAGTCTGACCAGCTGGAGGTTCTATACTGTTGGCAGCCTTTTTTTCGTATATTGATATTGAAATAACTTAAAGCTTTAATAGGTTGTTAAAGAAATCATTAACCACATATTCAGCACATTAAGAATTAAAGAGTTGTTTATTGCTTTGATTACTATTAACGTTACCAACATCTTTAAAATACGATAAAAAGATGCATCATGCAACAATCGTATTACAACATACTAGAAGTTTTGCTTAAATAATCTGTACGAAAGTTCATGTGTATTTCTGAAGGTAAAAACTGAGAAAGCCATACTACAATGTCTCTTATTATACCATATAATTTAAACTATTCCACATCTAATAGAATATAAACAATGTACTTTCAGCATTTGCACCACGTGGTGTTCCAATAGATATTATTATTGGATCCAATCTCGTTTTTATTTCCAGAGTCCAACAAGTCCATATCAAATCTATAACACACCCTTTATAGCCTCGTTTCCAGAAGGTTAATTTAAAATGCATATCACACCCTATATAGCCTCGTTTTCATTTCCAGAGTCCATGTAGTCTCATTTTAATTTTTTGAGGTCCAAATCCAAAGTCCAAATCAAATCGTTATTGCAATAGAAGAATCAAAGTTGTGTCAAAATATCAAAAAATTGTAGTGTGAAATAAAAATGTCATTAAACATGGTTATTCATTTGGACTCATACACAGCTGCAAAACCTACATCAGACTCGGATAGCACCCTGTCCATGCTGTGTACTCATTAAATAGAATTCATTATAATACTCAACAATGTATAATAACCTCACAATATTTTCGTTAAGCAAAAAAAAACAACATTTTTTATTAACATGATTTAAAGTATTTAGACTGTAGGAGAACTGAACTAAGAGTAATTCAGAAACAAGAATGACAAAAATAGTTACTGTAATTGCCGCACACTCGCACCTAGGTAGTTATACAAAGTAAATCATAAAGTTGTTGCATGTTGTATTTTGATGATACATTCCCACTGCAAGTTATTTTGTATTCTTGCAAATTTACGTTGTTGGCAACGCTACAAATATTCTCTGATGTTTATTTGATGATTTAAACATGATGTAATTTTGTATTGCTAGCGACAGAAAGTCAAAATGAGTTCTGTAACAAGTTCATGTATAATTTTATTTTGTATGGCTGGATTAAACTTTGCTGGTAAGTAATCACTTATATAAAAACGATGATTTTATTTGTGAAAGCATATGAATGTTACAATTAAAGCATTTGCCCCACACAATTGTCTCATTGGTTCTTTGAACGTTGCTTTCCTTTGTGGGCAATTGCTTTCATTTTCATGCCTCACCTAGGGTGGGGTTCATGCATATTAATTTTGTCGCTGTGCGTCCGTTCCGCTGTCCGCTGCCATGCTGTCACGCTGGTCGTTCATAGACTGACCCAATTTGTTATGTGGACGCGATTAAGAATATTTTGCAAAGTCAGTGGAAAGTGAGAAATGTTATTGAATATTTAATTAAATATTTGTGTCCAACATTTTACTCGAACATAATTCAGTCCATAAGATATCAGTTCTAAATTTATATTCAGTTTTTTTCCTCTTCAGCACAAATTTCAATTAGAGGACAAACATCTTTGGCTGCAGGAGACACATTGATGTTAGTCTGCAATGGAACCGACTTACAAACACCGCTGTCAAATTTAGACTGGTTAAAAAATGACAAGACACTTTCTCCTGACAAGAGAATTTCTATAGCTGTTTCTTCGAAATTATCCGACCGCACTAGAAACGTGTCCAGTAATTTGAGCATATCTCACGTGACTGAACAGGATGCTGGGAGATATACATGCAAAATTTCTAACGAAATGATGGAATTTGTAAACGTTCAAGTAAGCGGAATGGTGTTTACAGGAAGAGTGCCATCAGGTAAATGAATATACGTAAACTTTATCACGTTTTTCATTCATTAAATGTTTTTGTTAGTTAATAAATATATGATAGTGTATTTAAGGAACTCCACTGAGATACAATATGATAATAGAAGCCAGCTGGACACTTTAACACAAAAAGAAATGCCAAAGGTTACCTGAAGAAAGTAGGCTAAGCCCTAAATATGAAATGTCATAAAAGTAGCAAAATGTAAAAAAGAAGTATTTGAGCCGCCTCACGACAAACCAACGTAATGCGTTTGCGACCAGCATGGATCCAGACCAGCCTGCGCATCCGCGCAGTCTGATCAAGATCCATGCTGTTCGCTTACAAATCCTATAGCAAGAAGAGAAACTGAAACTGGATCCATGCTGGTCGCAAACCCATTATGTTGGTTTTGTCATGACGCGGCTCATTTGACTTCCGTATAAAACACTAATTCACCGTGACTGTGCAAATTGTCATAAAAGCAACAGAAGAAAGAGATTGTTTAGGTTATTAGCCAATGAGTATCGTTTTGGAAACTATTAAAGTACATCAAATATAAACGTTTTTACCAGTTTTGTTTTATGTCCAAAGTACTCAGCGAAAAATTATTCTTGTATTTAAAAGAATAAACCGCGAAATAAATATCAACAATTAAGAACTAATAGTAAGTCATTTCATAACATTATTAAATGAGAAAGGTCACGGTTAACGATATTACTGCTCTAGCTGTGTAATTGCATTTCATTTATTTCTTCATCTTTTTTTAATGTTTATATTTGTTTTGTTTTTTTATTCCACAGGGTCCGATGCAATGTCTTTGTCAGCAACAGCGTCGTTACTTCTGGTTTTCACAGTGTTCTTTGGATAAATAGATTGGAACTTATAGGGTCGCCCAAAGTCATATGAGTCGCGTCATGATATAGGGTTTGTAAGCGAACAGCATGGATCCTGATCAGACTGCGCGGATGCGCAGGCTGGTCTGGATCCATGCTGGTCGCAAACGCACTATGTTGGTTTTGTCATGACGCGCTCATACTTATTTCATCGCAAGCCTTATCTTTTGTCATACATTAAAACTATTTAAATCAAGGGGCAGGACGTGAAGTGGTTGCACACTTGGTTCAAGCGAGCGAAATAGTTGCAAACTTGACAAAATGGCGAACACGGCGTGATTTTTTGAAACGGGTGAACGACTTTTTGCCAGGCAAGTGGGTTTCTTTGTTATTTTGAAGTTCATTAGTATGTCTATTCCACAATGCAATATATATGCCACACTCGGTTAAATGTTTCAGCATCCTAGATTCTGTTTTGACGAAGTTATTGAAGATATAAACTGATCATGTAGATATTTTGAAATTTGACATGTGACTGTTCAGGTCGGTTTTTCTCCTAATTTATTCGAATTTGTAAGTTTTGAACTGCATTTAACAATAACAAAATATGTTTCTGTCAATGCTGTACAAATGGTTTAGCGATGAATATCTATTCATTTTTTAAATAATTAGCAATATTAAGGCAATTATACCCGTCCATCTAATAAGAAATATATATATATATACAAATTGTGCATGCGTGCAGATATATCCTAGCACAGGGTCTTTAAAATAGATATAAAACACAATATGCTAAATTGAAGTTCAGTTGTGTTTATCTTCATCATTTTTTCTCCCCGATATACTTCTTTTCTTTTTACAAAGTCTTAGGACATTTTTATATCTTGGCATGACTAACTGTAAAGGAAAAGAAGAAAAAATAGCAACAAACAGCTTTCATTATTGTTCTTTTTTGAGATTTGAAATAAATTTGATTATATAGTAGATAAAACTATATTAACATTGACACAAGGGCATTATTCACATGTTTCTTTAAATTGTTCCTTATTATTGACCTATCGAAACATCTTCCAAATTCCCTAACTCGACCAATGACTTTAAGTAGTTTTGTCACGTATCAGTCAATGTAAATAACCAATCGTATAACATTTATATCCCAAATCCGAAATATTGTAAACAAGCATGTCATTTTAACTTTTGGTTCGTAAAAATATTTTAAGTACATTTACATACTTTATGTCTAAAGCAACTGCTGATCTTTACATACGAAACAAACAAATTAACATTTCTTGTGGTTTTGATAAACTTTGGAAATTTTGCCGAGTAACATTGTATGTGTGCACATGTCCTTATGTTTATGATGAAAATAATTCACTTACATACAACAGAACTCTCACATACGTTTGTTTTGTATGTAGTTTTCATTTGCATTTTACATATGATGACATATTTTAGAATTGAAGTATCAATAAATATTTTTCTATATGCTATTATTTTGTTTGCAGGCTTTTACTGACTATTATAGTATTGACCTGAGAACCATGTAATTTGAAACATAAAGTGCATAATTGTAGTAAAAGAAGAAAGTATAAATAACATTTATAACAAAAACAAGTAACAGAACATAAATGTCAATAATTGCCATTGAAAATAGGTTAATAAATATAACCTTCTACACTCCTTTTTAAAAGTTTTACTATGGATTTCAATAGAATGAGAAGAAGTTTGCAACCAAAAATGCTTGAAGTATAAGCCTGCGACCAAAATGTGCTTGAACAAGATATTTTTGTGTATTGAACGTTATCTTCGGACTTGCGAACTAAACCATTTGTACAGCATTGACAGAAACATATTTTATTATTGTTAAATGCAGTTCAAAACTTACAAATTCGAATAAATTAGGAGAAAAACCGACCAGAACAGTCACATGTCAAATTTCAAAATATCTACATGATCAGTTTATATATTCAATAACTTCGTCAAAACAGAATCTAGGATGCTGAAACCTTTAACCGAGTGTGGCATATATATTGCATTATGGAATAGACATACTAATGAACTTCAAAATAACAAAGAAACCCACTTGCCTGGCAAAAATTCGTTCACCCGTTTCAAAAAATCACGCCGTATTCGCCATTTTGTCAAGTTTGCAACCAATTCGCTCGCTTGAACCAAGTGTGCAACCACTTCACGTCCTGCCCCTTGTAAATGGACAGTTTAAGTGTCAGTGTAAAATATTGTTTTCTTTACAGTTAAGTAGTGATTATCGGATTACCCACGTATATGCCTGTTTTAATGTTGGCAGTCCTATCTATAAAAAGGACACTTTTATACTGTAATAAAAAAAAACAACAACAAATCAAAAAAAGAAATTGTTTCTGTTATACTTGAAAATACTAATGTTAAGTATATACAAATATAATTTGTAGAAAGTGTAAAGTTGGAAAGTCTATACAAATCAATTCATGTGCATGTTTTTATTGGTTTACAAAATGGTATTTTTTCCTTTCTATTTTGGCATCCTTAGCTTGAAACACAATCCTAACATTTCAAGTGGTTGTATCAAATGAACTAATTATGTAACCTTTAAGTAGTAGATAATTTACAATAACAACAAGGCAGCATTATCGCAAAATAGTTCCGTCACAAAAGCTTTTTACAGAGATATGGGTATTATACATATGCATATAGGAGATATGCTCTGGGCAATATCCGGATAATATCTGGATATTTTATCATGTCTAGTGACTTTGACCTTGTAACTATTAACCTATATTACATGTGTCACACTTGTAGCCATGATAGTTATCATTTGTGTTACAATCCATCAATAAATGATGACTAGATTGTCCCTGTATACATCTTCCGTTTTTATCTTAAATTTGACCTCTGTGTGTGACATTGACTTTGGTAGCAAGAACCTGAATTATGCGCGCAATACTTAGCCTTACAATGGTGAATATTTGTGTCAAGTTACATTAAAATCCCTCAATGCATGTAAACAGTTTGCTTCAGACAAGCGTTCTTCAAGGAGCTCTAAGTATGAACTTGACCTTTAACATAGAGACCTGGTTCATGCCCGCGACACGGCTTCTCATAGTGTTGAGCATTTCTATGTAGTTTTAATAAAATAAATTTCCCCATGTGTGTAGGAGATATGCTCCGGACAAAATTGGACGCCGCCCATTCGTCAGGAGCGTTCACTATAATACGACCCGTTTTTAAAACGGGCGTATAGTAAACTTAAAAGAAAAAAGGAGTTGACATTCAGTGTTGATCTAAAATATATACTATGGTGGCTGATTTGTGCCATTCGTGTTTTTGCCCTGCGACCCCGCCAAGCGAAAAGTCGAGAATTAACAAGTTAAAATGGCGAGGGCGCGGAGCAAAAAGTCTCTAGTTAGCGGGGGCGGAGCGAAGTTTAATAAATAAAACTTCGCCCCGCGGAGGCGCGGAACGAGATTTAAGAAATAAAAGGGGGGGGGGGGCGTACCAAAATTTTTAGTTTTATATGTACCATCCACCCATAGTATTTTTGTGCAAATTTGATAAGATTAATCACTTTGTGTACCTATCATAATTTAATAAAGATGCTGAATGACAGGCGTTGTGTTGTTCCTGTTAGGTTGACACACTTATTTATAATCACTATTGGGAAATTGCATGGCAACATATGTGTTTATTCCTTAAGTCTAGTGACGCGTCTGGATAAATACACTCTTTTCATATGTTTCTGATAAATATATAACGTGCGCATGCGTCGGATTCGCTAACACCTAAATTCAAAGCTCATCTAAAATCTTTCTAAACACATCAATTGTCAACTAATATTGTTTATTCCTGACTTGATTTGATAGAAAACTGAAACATACTAGTACTTTCATTCATATTTATTGGGTATTTCACGGGATTAATCGTAAGTAAGTTTTTTTCCCAAGCTATGTAAATTTCCCACCATTGACCTTGACCTTCGTAATTCATATATCAACTTCCGGTTTAGAATTAGAAAATAACCGAAAACAACCAGCTCAAGACATGCTTACAGGTATTTATATTTCTTGTTGTATTGTAGCATGTGCAATTACACTCTTTGGAGTACCTCAGTTTCCAGAAAATGAAAACACATTACTCCATCCCAGACTTTTTAACCAACCAAATAAATACACCCCTCCAAGTTGTATTCATGTAGTCTGATCGTAAACAATCTTAATACAAGATTCAAATACAAAACAAAAGATGAAAAATATACTAATAAGAACTTAAGCCATCTGGTCATCCTGCTACTGTCAATCTCCTGCGATGTTGAGAGTAACCCAGGCCCTGATTTTCCTTGTGTAAGCTGTGACTCCCATGTCACTGATGATGATCCCTCTGTCAATTGTGATAGCTGTGGCAACTGGTTCCACATAGTATGTCAAGTAATAGAAAACACCTGGTATCAACAAATGGCAGAAACAGAAGTATCCTTTGCATGGACATGCACTTTGTGTAATAGTTTAAACCATTCCAACACCAGTTCAAGTATAATATCCATTACCTCACAAAATAGTTTTTTAAGCCTTTCAGATACAAATGTGACCCCATACCCCCACACTAGTACATCCAAACCACAAACTCACAATTATGTTTCGAAAATTAAAATTATCTGTGTAAATTGCCAATCTATTGTGAACAAAAAGCATTAATTTCAAAGTATGATTCTTTCTCAAAACCCTGATGTTGTCACCATAACAGAGTCTTGGCTGAAAAAAGAGCATTTAACATGTGAAATCTTTCTAACATCCCTAGGGTACACAGTCTACCGAAAAGATAGACAAACCGGAAAAGGAGTACTAATACTTGTAAAAAATAACTTTATCTCATGTGAACAACCAAAACTAAGCACTGACTGTGAATTTTATGGGTTAAGGTAGAAATTAAAGGTAACAAACCATTCTACATCGCATCCTACTATAAACCACATGAAAACGACACAAAAAGTACACTTGAATTTGAAAAATCACTAGACTTAACAAGAAATCTTAAAGGCACAAAAATAATTCTAGGAGATTTTAACTTTTCAAAACTTACATGGGACTCAGAACATAACTATTCTTATAAATCTCGCTTTAATTCAAACTCCACTTATGATAAATTTCGTGAAGTCATCGAAAATCATAGCCTTACTCAAATGATAAATGAAAACACAAGACAACACTATTTTAGATCTCTTTTTAATTTCAAACCACACACTTGTCAACAAAACAGAAATAATCCCAGAAATATCAGATCATGACATCATCACAACAAGTGTACACGCAAGACCAATTATAAAC